CTGATGACATCATTCTTCATCACCTGGCCAAGGCAGAGCAACCATGGTTCCCCTTGTGATTCTCGTTTTTCATTTCTTCCCTTTCCACACTGTAGTTTCAGAAGAAGGCCACTATGTGAAGCCCACAGTTAACGTTTGCAAGCAGATTTTTCTTCAAACATATTTTTTTCACATGTGAACAAACACTTAAGCGTGTGCTCAGTGAGCTATATAGTGAGTCTATGTTTAGAGCTAAAAGAAAACATCAAAAGTCCTCCACAGTAACTGCCCAATTTGTGCATTCCTACAGCAATGAATGAGGGTGACTGTTCCTCACCCTCATTCATTTTGTCAGCTGGGGTATTATCAGTTTTTTTGGATTTTGGTATTCTAATAATGACTAATCGTGTGTAGCTGTTTCTGTTTGCATTTCCTTAGGATAAATCATGCTGCATTTTTCATATGCTTAATTTCCATGTGCGAACCTTCAGTGAAGTGTCTGTTCAGAGTTTGTTAATTTTTGGGGGTGATTTTTTTGTGTATTCTCTCTATATTCAAGAAAAAAAGACTTTCATCAGTCATGTAATGAACAAATACACATTCCAGACTATGGCATCTAGTGACATAACAGCACTCATTATTGCACAGACATAGTTTCTGGGAACAGAAATGAGAAATTGCTGTGATGGCTTCCAGAAGATAACCTGAGTGACAAGAGATGGTGACAGTCAGGGGAGCAACACACATGGCCTGTCTTTGTATATTCTGCAGTAACTTTTGAAGTTTCATGTTTGAGCATGAATCCTATTTTCAAAAATAAATTATAGTAACACCTCATACACTTGTGAAACCCTTGACAGAACGTGTGCTAAGACCAAATCTGATCTCTACTCCAGGACCAGTGATCTTGTATTTGAACTATTTTACTGTAAAATTTCCATTTTTGCACAATGGGCTAGATTACTTGGAGAAATATTCTCATAAAAGGCCAAAATTTCTTTAGAAAATAAAATTGCTGAAAAGAGAATAATATACACCCACATGTCACAGTGCAGTAAATGATGCTTCTGGGCCTCCACAGAGAACAACAACTGAGAGATGGAGAGCAGCTCTGAGACTTCCCTGCCCCAGCGCCCAGACACAGAGGCTCCACCCTGGCAGGCATTTGTCCTGAGCTCCTGACATTGTACTTGTCTGCCTTCCCTTTCAAAACTTGAGACGAACTATTTCTTTTCTCTTACAGTGTTCACACATACTGAGAGATATGTATGCTGCACATTCACCCAGCACTGAAGGACATTTCTTCCAACCACACAGCATGGTTATCTTCTCATCCAGAGAAAGCAGCCTCTGAGAAGAATCAAACATTAGCGGTGTTCATCACCACCGCTGAACAATACATTCCAAGGAAAGTTAGAGCTCGTCCTGATTTTATTACCTGTCTAAGCCATTTCATCTTCCTCACACTCGATCGAGGAAATGAAACATCCGAAGGAAAATACGTCCTCACTTCATCCACAAGGAAGAGGGTCTGCTGTGACTTCAGGCCTGTACTGGACAATGGGGCACTTATGCTCAGGTGGGTCCCCTGCTGCTTTCATTCTGACCCACGGGGCACAATCCCATTCATGTCTGGTGACAGCACCTACTCCATGTGAGCTGTGAGGGACAGGACCGTTTTCATGGCATCCCCAGATCTCACTACATAAAAAAAGACCTTACACAAATGGATATAACCACTTATGTGTCTATAAATTATACCTACAGGTTCTCTCTTCAGCATAAGGTGGGAAAGGAGGCCCCTTCTTGGCACATGGATACTGATGACAAGGTTCACATTTATATAATTGTCAAATTAAGAAACTTCAACTTTTATCATTCTTCAAATAATGGAGCAGGTTCCTCATCTAGGCTGACAATTAGCCCTGTGTAGTCATTGCTGGTGGCTGTGACACTCACTGCCAGAGGATCATGATTGAATTGATTCACCTGTGGGAGAATTCTGTGGTAACAGTAACAGATGACAGTAACAGTAACCAATGACAATTTTCTTTTCTGAAACTCCAGTTTGCTCCTCTGGTCTGCCCCCAAGGGCAGCAGTAGATAAGACACCGGGTGTCAAAGAGGCTCTGGACACTGTCATTGCTACATCAACAACAGGTGCTCCATCTCCATGTGACACACAAGAGCATGAGGCCCTCAACACTCAGTGACCTCTTCTGTAGAAATCGCTTCAGGTCTTCTGCCATGATAAACCCCTTTTTCTCCCAGGATCAAACTTCCCTGCCTGGTTTCTGAGCTGCCGATGTCTCCATGGCACTTCAGTTCCAGCCTCAAAGACAGATTGCTTTGCAAGCCACTGTCACAATTCTGCAGTCTGTGGTCTACACTGACATGACAACACTCATTATTGCATAGACATATTTTTCTGGGGATACAAATGAGAAATTGCACACTGTGATGGTTTCTGTGAAGATGACCTAAGTGACAAGGGATAAGCAATATGGATGTCTTATCTTTTTGGGTCTGGAGAATCTTTTGAACTTACTTTTTGTGCCTGAATACAATTTTGAAAAAGAATTTATACTTACACTCCCCTTGTGCAACCCTTGATGGATCATGTCCAGTGCACATGCTAAGATTCAGATTGTGATCCTCTGCTCCAGGATCAATGAAATCCTATAACTGAAACATTTTGCTGTAAAATTTCCATTTTTGGAAAATGGGATCTAGAGTCCATGGACAAATCCCCCACTAAAACAGTAAAAATGTCAACTCTTCTTATTTTTGTTATTTATATTTTTTTAGTGAGACTGGAATTTGAACTCAGGTGCAGGCCACACCTCCAGCCCACTTCACTCTGGTTATTTTGGAGATGAGTCTGGGAACTATTTCTCTGGGCCTGCCTGAAACTGAGATCCTCCCAATCTCAGCCTCCTGAGTAGCTAGGATTACAGGTGTGAGCTACTGGCACCTGGACGCTTTTCTTCTTAAAAGCATCAAATTGCTGACAAGAGAGTGATAAATGTCCTCACCCCACAAAGGAGGCAATGAGGCTCTGGGCCTCCACTGAGAACAACGCTGAGACATGGAGAGCGGCTCTGCAAGTTCACTGCCCCAGTGCAGATATGGACGCTCTGTACCATGAGTCTCTGCCCTGAGTCCTCACTTTCTACTGTCTGCCTTCCCTTTCAAAATTCCAAGCAATGTATTTTTCTGATTATCCCATACGTGCAGAGTGCATAATATGTATGATATACGCTCATGCACCATCTAAGAATGTTTCTGTCAATACCATATACCAAACATGAGAGCAGTGGTAGAGCGCCTGCCTAGCAAGTGCAAGGACCTGAGTTCAAACACTGTGGTGCCAAAATAATAATAAATAATGGATGTGTGACTCAAGTGGTAGAGCACTGGCTTACCAAGTACTCAGTAGCCACATGTGCCTGTGGGCACCATATTGCACAGTGCAGACGCACAACACAGAATATTCTATCGAACACCATTGCCAAATTTTCACGTCCCTCCAAAATTCCTGTGTTGAAAAGTTTATCCCCAATGTGATGGCATTTGGAAGGAGGGCTTTGAGAGGTGATCAGGTTTGCCCTCTGGATGGAATTACCACCCTTCTCAGAAAGCTGCCTGGCCTTCCCCATGGAGGGCTCAGTGAGAACAGGGATGTTTATTAGGACAGGGTCCCTCCTAGACACGAGATGGCCACACCTTCACATGGGACTTACCAACCTCTAGAATGGTGGAAATGAATTTCTTGTTTATAAGTCACCCAGTCCATGGTGTTTCTGTTACATCAACCTCATGGACTGAGATAACTGCTCCTGAGTCTCTGGGGGCCTGAAGTGAAGTGCACTGGACTCATCTGAAATGAAAGGCCAATTTTTCTTATGCAGATTGAGTCAAATTCCTGTCTGGCAATGAATGAATTTGTATCAGATGCCTCAGACACAAACTGTTCCCAACTCAAAGGGGAACCTGGAGTCCCTCCAGCTCTGTCCCCAGACTAAGGAAACTCTCTGACATCCAATGTCCAGGGGTGCAACTCTTCTGGAAGACCCAGGGGCAGTGCATTAGCTGAGCTTTGGCAGGCAGGGTGTCAGCTCAGGGAAGAAGTTCTGGAAATGAGGAAGGGGCACAGAGGGTGGAGTCTGGAGGAACTCCCCACCAAATGGTTACTCAGAACACGAGTTCCCAAAGTGGGGTCTATGGAACCCTTGGAGGGCTCAACGTTTTCATAGGATTTCCCAAATCTGAGCTATTTTTATATTAGTAGGACTTTATTTGGACTAAATCAAAGCTTAGCAAGAATGGAAGCTGTGGAACCAAAGTGCAAGAGGGTTATTCTAGTCTTCACCTCCTCCTCATTGCCAAAGGAAAAAAAACTGGTTCCACTGAAACATGATCTCATCGAAGCATTAAGTTACTGAGTTTATTACATCTCCTGTCCAGAGTCCTCGCAATAAAAGAACCTTATATGATTAAACAGCAGGCACTTCTAGTGCATTTTATAGTGGTTTGTGTTCTTTGGGTTAATTGCGTGTGTGTGTCTGTGTGTGTGTGCTACTGGGGTTTGTACTCAGGCCCTCCTTTTGCCAGGTATGCAATCTTCCACTTGAACCATGCCATAACTCCTTTTGCATTCAGGTGGTGTCTAGCGTTTTTTGCCCCGGTCCAGCGTCAGACAGTGATCCTGCTATCAATGGCCTCTGTTTAGCTGGAATTACAGTGCGCAGCACCAAACCCAGCTAGTTTGTTGAGATGGGGTGCGCTGGGTGGCCTTAACCCTGACACAGGGCTTGATGCGTAGAGATGGGTCAGGGTAAAGCACCAGCTCTCCAAGTTTAGCTCTCAGGGACTCCCCACTTCCCCACAGTTTCACTTCTCCCAACCCGTGTCAGGTCCTTCTGCCTGGACACTCATGAGGCGGCCCCAGTTCTCACTCCCATTGGGTGTCGGGTTCCCAGGGAGCCAATCAGCGTCTCCGCGGTTCTGGGTTATAAGGTCCCCACTGAGCTGCCCGCTCTCAGATCGTCCCACAGACCCTGAAAATGGGGTCATGGAGCCCCGAACCCTCCTCCTGCTGCTCTCAGCGGCCCTGGCCCTGACCGACACCTGGGCGGGTGAGTGCGGGGTCGGGAGGGAAACGACCCCTGCCAGGAAGGAGCGAGGGGACCGCGGGCGGGAGCTCAGGACCCAGGGAGCCGCGTCTCCGCCCCGCGGCCCCGACCTCCCCGTCCCCACCCGGGCGCTGCCGCTCCCCACCCGCCCCATTCCCCCGATGTCCCTTTGGGGTCTCAGGAGCCCGTGTCCCCTCCTCCCCTCCGGCCCATCATCCTGGGACCCGGGTTCCGCGGCAGGAGGGTCGCGGAGTCTCAGCCGCCCCCCGTCCCCAGGCTCGCACTCCCTGATGTATTTCTCCACCTCCGTGTCCCGGCCCGGCCGCGGGGAGCCCCGGCACATAGCTGTCGGCTACGTGGACGACACGCAGTTCGTGCGCTTCGACAGCGACGCCGCGGACCCGAGGATGGAGCCGCGGACCCGAGGATGGAGCCGCGGGCGCCGTGGGTGGAGCGGGAGGGGCCGAAGTACTGGGAGCAGAACACGCGGATCGAGAAGGGCAATGCACAGACTTCCCGAGTGAACCTGCGGACCCTGCTCGGCTACTACAACCAGAGCGAGGACGGTGAGTGACCACAGGTCGGGTCGGAGGTCACGACCCCTCCACGTCCCCATGACGGCCCGAGTCGCCTCACATCCCCAGATCCGAGGTTCACCCGACATTGCGGGGACTCGGACCGGTTTCATTTTCAGTTTAGGTGGAAATCCCCGCGGGTCGGGGCGGGCGGGCGCGGGGCTGACGGTGGGGGCGGGGCCAGGTTCTCACACCATCCAGTGGATGTCTGGCTGCGACATGGGGTCGGACGGGGGCCTCCTCCGCGGGTACGAGCAGCACGCCTACGACGGCCATGACTACATCTCCCTAAACGAGGACCTGCGCTCCTGGACCGCGGCGGACACCGCCGCTCGCATCACCCAGCAAAAGTGGGAGGCGGCTGGTGCGGCGGAGCAATACAGGACCTACCTGGAGGGGAAGTGCGTGCAGTGGCTCCGCAGATACCTGGAGCACGGGAAGGAGACGCTGCTGCGCACAGGTACCCGGGGCCAGAGACCCCTCCCGATCTCCTGTAGATCTCCCCGCCCGCTCCCACAAGGCGTGAAGGAAAAGGGGGCCCACCCAGGACACCGCCCTCCCTCTGCTCCAGAGGGGTGAGCCGCCACGGCTTTTTTTTCTTTTTTTCTTGTGGTACCTGGGGCCGAACTCAGGGCTCGATGCTTGACAAGTGCTCTCCCACTGAGCTGTACTCTCAGTCCAATAATTATTTTTTATTGTTTATACATTTATTCATGTGTGTTTACATTGTTCGGGCCACCTCTCCCCCGTGCCCCTCCTTTTCCCTCCTCCCCCACCCTATTCGCTTCAAGACAGAACCTGTTCTGCCCTCTTCTCCAATTTTGTTGAAGCGAAAACATAAGAGATAACATGAAAAACATAGCATTTTGCTACTTTGAGATAAAGATAACTGTACAGAGAGATTCCTATCATTGCTTTCATGCACATGTGTATTACAACCCGCATCCGTTCATCTCTACCTGACCTCTTCACTACTTCCCGGTCACCTTCCCGTAGTGGCCTCTGCCAGTTTAAGATTACTTTATTCGCACCTCTACAGTGGGCATATCAAACACTATCAAGTTTTAGGTTTCCTTCCCTTTCCCTATTCATACTGCAAGTGTTCTCCCCTTAGTGTGTGACCCATGTCCAATAATATCACTGCATTTGTTTTAGGTCTATAATCCGCATATGAGGGAGAACATAGGATTTTTGGCCTTCTGAGCCTGACTAACTTCACTTAAGATGATGTTCTCCACTTCCATCCATTTACCTGCGAATGACTAAATTTCATTCTTCTTTGTGGCTGAATAAAATTCCATTGTGTATAATTACCACATTTTCTTAATGTGGTCATCAGCAGTGGGGCATCTTCGCTATTTCATAGCTTGGCTATTGTAAATAGTGCTATAATAAACATGGTGTGCAGGTGCCTTTGGAATAACCTGAGTCCCATTCCTTTGGCTATATCCCTAGGAGTGGTATTGCTGGATCATATGACAGATCTATGTTTAGTTTTTTAAGAAGCCATCATATTCTTTCCAAAGTGGCTGTACTAGCTTACTTTCCTACCTAAGTGTATGAGGGTTTCTTTTCCCCACATTCTTGCCAACACTTGTTGTTAGTGGTGTTTTTGATGATAGCTGTTTTCTAGCAGGAGTGAGGTGGAATCTTAATGTGTTTTGATATGCATTTCCTTTATGACTAGGGATGGTGAGCATTTTTTTGATGTGTTTTTTAGCCATTTGGATTTCTTCCTTGAAAAAGTTCTGTTTAGTTCAGTTTCCCACTCCTTTGGTTCATTGATTTTTGGGAGAGTTTAGTTTTTTGAGCTCCCTGTATATTCTGGTTATCAGTCCTTTGTCGGATGTGTGGCTGGCAAATGTTTTCTCCCACTCTGTGGATGGTCTCTTCAGTTTAGAGACCATTTCTTTTGTTGTGCAAAAGAAATACAATTATAATTATAATTTCATGTAGTCCCATTTGTCCATCCTCTTAGTTGCTGAGCTGCTGGAGTTCTATTGAGAAAATCTTTGCCTATACCTATTGTTTCCAGAGTATTCCCTGCTTTTGCCTGTATTAACTTTAGAGTTTCAGATCTGATAGTAAGGTCCTTAATCCACTTTGAATTAACACTAGTACAGGGTGATAGGCATGGATCTAGTTTCAATTTTCAGCAGGCAGATAACCAATTTTCCCAGCAACATTTGTTGAAGAGGCTATTCTCCATCATATGGGGGTTGTTAAAGTCTCACACTACCACTGTGTTTGTGTGTATATATGCTTTTAAGTCCTTTAGAGTATGTTTGATGGAAATGGGTACACTAATATAGGTTGATAATTATCATTTCCTTTTGGTGTATTTCCCCTTTTATTAGTATGAAGTGTCCTTCTTTACCTCATTTGATCAATGTAAGTTTGAAATCTACTTGGTCTGATATAAGTATTGCTACTCCTGCCTGTTTTGGAAGGCCATTGGCTTGGTAAATCTTCTTCTAGCCTTTCACCCTAAGTCAGTGTTTGCTTCTGTCAATGATTTGGGACTCCTCTAAACAACAGATTGTTGGATCTTCCTTTTTAATCCAGCTTGATAAATGGTGTCTTTTGATGGGAGAGTGGAGTCCGTTGACATTCTGTGTTAATATTGATAGGTATGTGGTGATTCCTGCCATTTATTTGTTTTTGTTGCTTAAGGGTTTGATTGTGTGCAGCTGAATCAATGCTACTCTCTGATTCCTTGACTTTTCTTCTCCTGAGGTTTGATACTTCCTGTCCTCTCATGGTTTTATTTGTTTTCATCTTCTGTGTACAGAATTCCTTGGAGAATCTTCTGTGGTGGTGGCTTGGTGATCATATATTGTTTTAGTTTCTGCTTATTGTGGAAGATTTTTATTGCTCCATCTATTTTGAATGATAGTTTTGCTGGGTAGAGTGCTAGGGTTGAATTTATTTTCATTCAGTGGCCAAAATACCTCACTCCATGCCCTTCTTGCTTTTAAGGTTTCCATTGAGAAATCTACTGTGATTTTGATGGGTTTACCTTTATATGTTACCTGTTTTTCTCTCTTACAGCCTTCAGTATTCTTTCTGTGTTCTCTGTGCCAGTTGTTTAATGATAATATGCTGTGGGAAGGTTCTATTTTGGTTAAATGTGTTTGGTGTTCTAGAGGTTTTCTGTACCTCAATGGGTAAAACTTTCTTGAGCTTTAAGAAATTTTATGTTATTATTTTATTGAATATATTATAAATTCCTTTTGGTTGGGCCTCTTCTCCTTCTTCAATACCATAATTCTCAGGTTTAGTCTTTTGATGGATTTGGTGAGTTCTTGCATATTCCTTTCACAGCTCTTGAGTTTTTGCCTTACAATTCTCCACTTTTTTCTTTAATTTCTACTTTATATTCAAGTTCTGAGATTCTGTCTTCCACTTGTTCAACTCTGCTGGAGTGGCCTTCCACTGTGTTTTTTGTTTTTGTTTGATTCTTATTTTTGAGGTTTTCCATATCTTTGGTCACGTACTCTTTTATATTTTTTTAGTTTCATCTTTAATTCATTTACCTCTCTTTTTATAGTTCCCTTACTTTCACTTTGGTATTTGTTTAGGTTGTCTCTGAGTTCATTCATTTGTCTCAGTGTCTTCTCATGTTCTTTATTTTTGGTGTCTTGAAATTTCTTGAGTGCATCTTGTATGTTTTGGTTAACCATGTCTAGTATCTTCTCCATGAAATTCTCAGTGATATCTTGCAAGATTTCTTCTTTGAGGGTGTTTTTGTGGGCATCACTGGGTTGCTTGGTGTCATTTATCTTTGTTTTGTTGGGGTCAGGAACTAGGTATCCATTTTCTTCATTTCCCTCTGAATCCTGTATTGAATTAATTTTTTGAGGAGAGTGGTTTTCATCCCTTCTTCTTCCCACTGCTCTATTTGGTGCTGTGCAACTATGTTCTTGATAGGTTAGTTGGTGCTTTTAATTGCCTGTTTTCTTTCCTTTGATTTAATCTTTGTGTTATGACTATCTTGGTTTTTAGCTAGGTTGATACGCTGTTTCTTTCCCTGGCTTGGAGGTGTAATATAGCAATAACTAATTCACAGGTTCAATGCCTGACCAGTTGATATATTATATAGAAGCCCCGTGGATGATATTATCTAGAAATAGTGGGAATTGAGGGGGGTAATGCTTGTTAAGCTATCTATGGAAATTGGTTAGGGTGGTACTAAAAGGGGAGACAGGAAGTTGGGTGGGTGAGTGGGGGAAGCAATATGGGGGTTGCCGGGTTTTGTGGCCCTTGTGTGTGCTTGGATGTATTTCTGTTCTTATAGTGGAGGGTGCTTGTGTCAGGGATTGCAGGGGATTGGGGTTGTGTAAAGTTGGTACATGGATTAGTCAGCAGGTGGTGAGTGTGTAGGAGGGAGTGGTAATGTGACAAGTTGGGGGAGGATGTGAGGAGGAGAGGAGGGCAAGGGGAGAGGGTGGATGAGAAGTAGTAAAAAGAGTATTTGGGAAGGAGAACAATGGATTGTAGCACAGATGAAGGAAGGAGAGTGAAAGGGGTGAAAATGGGGATAAGAAGATAGTGATGGTGAGTTGATAGTACAGAGAGAAAAAAATAGAAATAAAAATAAAATGAAATAAAGATTTAAAAAAACCCTCACAATAATAAAACAAAAAAATGGAAGGTAAAACAAAACAAAACAGAAAAAACAAAACCCAATTAAAAAACACTAGGTTCAGGAACAATAGAATTTCAGTGTTTGGTTTAAGTTCTGGAGTTATTCTTCTGGCATCCAGTCCTGGTATTGGCATATAAGCAGAAGTTCTGATGTGGTCTCACCAGGTGACTGGCTTGTGAGTAGTGTTTGGTTCTTCTGTCCACCAGTTTAACTGAAATTGTGAGGTAAGGTAGGTTTGCCAGACCATGCTGGGTGGTTCAGCTTCAGCTGTTTGGTCAGCTCCTCCCCCAGCAAGGTGGAGCACTTTGGTTTTGAATGCAGCCCTCTGGATCAAGAGATCATCTCTGTGATCCACTAACTCCCCTGCTTTGGGAAGTGGCTTGTCACCTGCCTAGGGCTCTCAGCCTTTACTCCCTTTCCAGTGTTTATTCACTGAGCGTTCATTGCTGAGAGTTTAGCTCCTTACCCCACCCCCTCTCTCTGGGGCAGGTTGTGTTCCACCTACCCCCTCCACTGTCCATGTTTAATTACAGTTTGCTGTTAGTTTTTCAGTTTTTTGAGGGTGGGGAATCCATCTGCCCAGGGGCTGTGCTGGTATATGTTCCCAGGGGGTGGGTAGGGGAGTCCTGCATGGTGTGTGATGTTCACCTGTTCATTCTACCTATTGACCATGCAGGGAAGTTTGGAGCCTGCAGCAGCAGGGAGAAATGGCACCAACTTTTCTCAGTGCAGCACAGTGTGGGAAGGCTTTCCACAGGCTAGGGGTTCTGGAAGTTGCAGTTTGATTCTGGTTGATGTTCTGTTTCTGCTTGATGGAGGAGGAAAAAGACAAGGAAAAAAAATAGGAGAGAGAAACCGCCATGGGACAGGAGGGTTCCTGGGGCTAGACCTGGCTTGCTGGCAGGTCACAGCTGTCAGGTGCAATTAAAGGCTGGTTTGAGGGTCAGATTTTTAATTTTTTTCTGCACCTAATGTGATGGTAGTAATTATTTTGCCTAGAAGTAGTCAGAATTACCCAAGTGTTGCACTATCGTCTCAGGTAGTTTTCTGGAGTCACAGATCTTAGGCTTTCTGCTTCTGTAGGCTAGTCGCCACCTTGGATCAGCCCAGTAGATTTTTTTTTCCGGTACTGGGGTTTGAACTCATGGCCTTGCTCTTGGTAGACAGGTGTCCTACTGCTTGAAAAATTCTGCCTGCCTCCTCCTGGCTTTTCTGAGGCTGCATCATAGAGGACACTGAGGCCTGCTTGTCCCTCAGGACAATTAAGGCAAACAGTATCTCTCCAGACGTGGAGGGGAAGACAGTCCCTGAAATAACTGCCATCAGCTCCGTTTCACTCTGTCAGCAGCCTTGGGCATCACAGGGAGACTGTCTCAGGCCTTGTTCTCTGCCCTATGCAGTGTCTTTAGAGATCTGACACCAGGTCTTGAGTCTTTACTTCACCCAGGTCAGTATCTGAAGTCCCTCTCAGAGATCTGGAGCCTTTACATTGAACAGTCTCAGTTTGTTTCTAGAACTTTCCAAGAAATAAGTGATTATCCCAAAGCCTGAGCCCTGGCTGGTGTCTGGGTTTTGCATTCCCTTCCCCAACCCAATCGTCCTGTCTGTTCTCAAGATAATCACAAGAATGGTTCTGCAGTGGCCCATGGGAAGTAATGTCAAATGTCTGAATTTCCTGAATCTCCCCCTCAGCCCCACCAGAGACACAAGTGGCCCTCCACCCCATCTCTGACCATGAGGACACCCTGAGGTGCTGGGCCCTGGGCTTCTACCCTAAGGAGATCACCCTGACCTGGCAGCTGGATGGTGAGGACCAGATCTAGGACATGGAGCTTGTGGAGACCAGGCCTGCAGGGGATGGAACCTTCCAGAAGTGGGCGGCCGTGGTGGTGCCTTCGGGGGAGGAGCAGAGATACACGTGCCATGTGCAGCATGAGGGGCTGCGTGAGCCCCTCACCCTGAGATGGGGTAAGGAGGGGACGTGGGCATGGACTGTCTTCTTAGGGAAAACAGGAGCCTTCTGGAGCCCTCAGCAGGGTCAGGGCTGAAAATAGACCTTCCTTCCTTTTCCCTCCTAGAGCCACATCCTCAGCGCACCATCTCCATTGTGGAAATTGTCACTGTTCTGGTTGTACTTGGAGCTGTGGTCATTGGAGCAGTTGTGATAAGGAAGAGAAATAATGCAGGTAGGGAAGGGGTGGGTCTGAATTGTCCCCTGGGGTATTCAAGCACCAGGTAGAAGTGTCCCTGCCTCCTTAATGGGAAGTAGCACCTGTAAGGTGCTTCTCCAGCCTGGGCCCTCTTTGCTGACACCTACTCTTTTGTAAATCACATGGAAAATGAAGGACAGATTTATCACCCTGCTGATGGTGGTGATGGGGACTTGAGTCCCAGCTGTCACAGATCAGAGGTAAGGTCCCTCTGAGGACAGTCCTTCAGGAAGGCAGTTGGACCCTTCCTGCCCATCCCTTCTCCTCAGGCCTAGTGGTCCTATCCTGGGTCTACAGTCACAGTCTGGAAACTTCCCTGGGATCCAAGACTAGCGGTTCCTCCAGGCTTTGTGGCCCTGCCTTCTTCCTGGCCCCTCGTGTATTGTTTTCTTCCCACAGGTGGGAAAAAAGAGGGCTATAATAAAACTGCAAGTAAGTATGGGGGGGGGTCCCCGAGCCCCATGTGGTACAGTAGAGAAGTTTGTGCATCCATCCCACAATTCCTCCTTTAGCCACATCACCTGAGCTCTGACCAGGGCTCTGATGCATCACTTGCAGCTTATATATAAAGGTGACACCCTGAAGGCCTGAGTTGGGATTGGGGATGGGGCAGAGTCCTTTGATATGGGGACTGTGGATTGGGACATTTTAAGTGTGTGCTGGGCTGTTCAGAGTGTCACCACTTACTGTGCCCGTCCTGATCATTTTCTCCTACAGTGTGAGATGGTGCCTTCTGAGGACCAAGCCACAGAGGACCTGTTCAGATCTCTCCTCCCTCCCTCCTGTGATTTCAAGAGCTCCTGACTTGTCTTTCTGCAACAGGCTTCTGACTGTGTCCATGTGTCTGTGCTCCTGTCATCATAAAGTGAAGAAATGAGGAGCTCAGCCTTGAGTGCTGAGACCCTCCCACGCTGTCCAGGATCCTCTTTCCTGATCAACCAGCTGCTCCAGCAGAGGCAGTGCTGGGAGGGTTCCATTCCTGTGTTGTCATTAGGTTGCACTGAGCTGCAGTTCTGGCTTCCCTGGTGACAATAAGAATGTGCATGTGGATTTGTTGTTCAGATTCTTGCCATGAGATGAGGTTGATGGTTAATTAAGTCAAGGGAAGATTAATAAACTTGAGCAACAATATGTAACTTGACAAGCTTCCAGAGTCCTTAGTGTTTGTGGTGTGAGTCTGTTGCAGGTGGGGACAGGGAAAGGCTGAGTGGTGCCACATGTGGACAGAGCTATGCACAGTTGGTGTTCGGTCCATCCTGGGGTTTGAGATGGCTATTACTCCACTGTGTTATCTTCTCCCCATAGTCCCTTTCCCTTTAGTAGAAACTTGTCCTACCAGGTCCTGTGATCACAGGGACTCAGACCTTTCCAGGGTTTTCCTGTGTCCAAAATCATGAGCAACTAGGGCTTCCTGTGGCAGGCCAGTCTAGACTCAGTCATCGATCCAAATTCAGGAACCACCATTTTTTTTTTTCGTGCTTTATAGAGAATTATGCTCGTAATTGGTATGGATTCTGGTGTCATTGTCCTCTGGGTGTACCACGTTTCTTATGGAAGCAGGAGGTGATTTTCCTGTCACTGTCCCACAATGATTTGAGGGTCCTGCACATGGCAGACTCTGTGGCATCAGGAAGTGACTGTTTCCTGGATTGTGGTTTTGATCTTTTCTCCAAGATTTTTAAAGGAATCAGAGTGTGGGGACAGCAGAGAGAAGAATCTCATAGTTTCCCATCTTAGGGAAATCCTGTCATGTTTCTACCTTCTCTGCTCATCCAGGGCTCTTCTTGCCTTAGGTCTAATAATCCCAGCCTGGCTCCTATCCAAATTGGTGGTAATATTTATATTAATAATAACTTAATGTTGTTATTTTGTTTTTGAGACTGGGTCTCGCTACATGCTGCCTTCACTCTTGAGATCCTCCTGCCTCAGCTTCCCTAGTGCTGGGGTTACAGGCCTGCACACCTATGTCTGGTTTCCAATTTGTGGATTTAAATGCTGAGAATAATGTAGTGTATTAATTGATTGCAAATATGATCCACAAATTAAGGATCAACTTTTCTGAAGAAAAGGAGTAATGGTTGCTGTGTAGTGCAGCAGAGCTGGTGAAGGAAGGAGGGAGAAAGGGCTGCAGTTGTAAGAAAAGCCCAGGCAGAACTGACCTCAGTGTGAGAGGACCTTGTGCTGTAGCTGCCAGGTTGCATTTGATCTGAGCTCCATTAATAAAGATGGAGTCTCCATCTTTATTAGGGAGGAGGTCTGCAGTGATCATTATTCAGCTGTCACTTGGTCAGTATTTTCTATACAACACACAAATTTTGGATCAAGGACCCATCAGGGAACTAAAAGGGCCAAATCAGCCAGTCCTGTGCAGCAAGAATTGGAGTGAGAAGAGGCAAGTGATACTAAGCAGAGTGAATGAGAGTGTTCATGCAGGAGGAGGTCAGTGCTCTGAGACAGTGATCCAGAGTGTGGTGTAGGGACAGCAAGAAGACTTTTCTAGGACATTCATTGTGGGCTTCATTGGGAAGGTGAGCTTTCAAGAAGGATTTGTAGCACATGAAGGAAACTGTCATGAAGATATCTGATGGAAAGTTTTTCTAAGCAGAATATCCTTTAGTGCAAATATTCTGGGGCAGAATCCTGGCTGTGTTCTGGGGAGAGTGAGGAATCCAGGAGGTCAGAGGTGTGGCCAGGCTCTGTAGGTGTTGAGGACACTGGAAGGATTTTTACTTTGAATGAGGATGTTTTGAGCAAGGACACACAGGCACAACTTCTCTTTTCAAGGTATCGCTCTGGCTGCTGAACTGAGAACAGTATGGAGAGGCCAGGGACAGGTGAGGCAGTAGAGAAAAATGTGGGGAACTAGTCAGTGCTCAAGGCAGGACCTGTTGTGCACTTGAACTTGGAGGTGAGCTGTGAAAATAGTGATTGGGTTCCATGCATACTGGAAGATGGACTTTACAGCATTTATCAGTATGCTGCTAAAGTATGACATAAAAAGAGAAGTAAATGAGGACACCAAACATTTGTGAGAAAGTAATAGAAAGATGGAATTGTATTAGCAGAAAAAGGAAGACTGATATGGGCATTCATGAGGCGGGTGCTTGGCTTGTACTCTGTCTAGGAAATGTAGCTGAGACATCCACTAGAAATACAGGTGAGGACCCAGGTGTGTTGGCACCTGCTGTAATTCCAGCATTCTGGAGGCTGAGGCAGGAGGATCACTTGAGCTCAGGAGTTCAAGACCAGCCTGGTAATGTAATGAGACCCTGCATCAAGGAAAAGACAAAGAAAGAAATGCAGTTGAGTTTTCTGGATTGAGAGTGGGCAGACTCATCTAGAGGCATTTAGGAGAAAACCTGGGCTGGAGGGATAGGTTTGGGAGGTGATATCATATGTATGGTAGTTACAGCCCGGAGAACTGCTGAGGGTACCAGGGAGTGATGGCTACAGAGGAGACAGGGAGCAAGAGCAGAGCCTTGGAGCTGCAGTGTTGGTGATCTGATCAAACCCCAGGCCTGGAGCCCACAGCATAGTTCTAGAGCTCTGTGTACAAGACACGCAGACCAGGGCTTCTCAGACCTTCCCAGACAAAGCCCTGGATGTTGTCTTGACGTTCAGATGGCTGGGGTTGACCATAAGACTGCATTTATACCACCAGGTTGATGCTGTTGTCACTATTGCTCCTGGAAACTGGGTAGGTGTCACTGCTGCCAGTAATGCCATCCCTGCCAAATGTGCCTGCACAGCCCCAGCCTCTGTGTCACCATGTCCTGGTCAGTGGCCAAAGAGTGGAGCCCATGCCTCATACAGTGTCAACCGCAGCACTGTGGAGAAAGTGAAGTTTCTGCTTTTATGGACATAAGGAGTCTCTGCCTCCTGCCTAGGCTCTTTAGGTTGGAATCTAACCTAGAAGAGAGCACAGGAGCTGGAGGTGTAGGGGTGAGGAAGGGAAATGAATGACAGCTCAATTCCTGGAATAATGGCGTGAGGGCAGAACTTTGTCAGGTATATTGTGGGCATCTGAGTGTGGTTGAATGATACATCAGTCCTCCAAATCCTGGCTGTAGTAACTCCTTAAAGCAAGCCGCTATGTAGCTGTTCTATGTGATGACCAGCAAGAAAACAAGCCATTGACCCCAGCATGGGACAGTATTTGCAGAGACTAACAAAATTCCTCTTATGGAAAAGGTACACTGGGCGCAGGTGGCTCATACCTGTAATCCTAGCTACTCAGGAAGCAGAGATCAGGAGGACCACAGTTTGAAGCCAGCCCTGCAAATGTTCATAAGATACTATGTTTTTAAAAAGTCACAAAAAAGGACTGGTGGATGGGCTGAAGGTGTAGGCCCTGAGTTAAGCACAAGTAACAAAACAAAAAAAAAGCTAAAGCACACATAAGCAGTACTTCCCAGAGTCTGGATTTCTGTTTTCTAGCTGTCATTGCGCTTATGTTAACATTAGGTGGCGCTCCAGGGTTCTGCAATGGATTTACAAACAGTCCATAAAATAAAATTTGTAGGCAGCTGATGACCAAAGGTTTGTTTGTTTGTTTACAGACTCAAGGAATTTATATAAATATTCAAACTTCTGGGTGCGGCGGCATTGCATCGTGACTTATGAAAGTAAAAGTCAAAAGAATAAGCTAGAAGGTTGAAAGCAATATCTTCCCAAGTGCTGGGATTACAGACAGGTGCCTTGATAAGTGATAGTTTTGACAATTTTGTAGATTTACATTCATTTTACTGATTATTTTTACAGTAATCATTTACATAGCACAAGAGAGATTAAAGTCCAGTCCCCATTCTCCTCAGAGAGACTTTTTTTTTTTTTTTAAATAATGAAGGTAACAGGCTTGCAAACAGAGAGATCCTCAGAGGGGCTGGGGTCTCTCTCCAGGATCCAGGCGGGCTGTCCCTCCACACCGCTCCTCCCAAGCCCTCTTCTGCACAAGCACTTTTCCTCAGCCCCCTCTGCTCCCTGCTCTGCCTCCTAATCTCCTTTCCCCTCCACTCTCGCCTTTGGACCTCTGGACTCACAAGAGTAGTGGCGCCTTTCTCTGCACTGACTTTGGATGCCACACTGTGTCGCAAAAACAAATAAACCACCTAGCGCAGTCACTTACATAACTCAGGGAGGGACTTTGCAGAACCCTTGCGTGTTTTCAAGTCAGGGGCTGGAGTTCACTGCGAAGCCTAAAAGATCGCCTGTCGCCCACACTCTGGCCTAAAGAAATCAAAATTGTTGTTTGCTATTAAAGTGGAATTGCTGTGTTTATGACGCCGGGAGGAGGGCGAGCCATATTTGGGGTTTAGGTTGTCAAACTGCTGGGCAGTTACACCTGCCCGCTGGGAAAGTGCAGACCTCGTGGGTCTGAAGCGGGATCTAGAATCTGACAAGCACTTCAACCAACCCGCATCCCAGTGGAATACATGGCTTGTGGAAAGGAAACGCATCTTCCATCCCCAGGACCCCCGCCCGCCAAATGGGGTCCCACCCTAGGGTTCTGGAATCCCAAACCACTTCCTACTGTTGACCAGGAAGGAATCACCTGCCTTGTGGCTGTCCCGTCTAAAACCGCCCCTCTGGAGAAAAAGCAGCAACTAGATTTAAGAAAACCCTCTGAGGGTTCCGCCCCTTCCGTGAGGACCCTAATTAGGACTCTGAGTGTGATCTCTCCGAGGAAAATTGTGAGGGACTTGCTTTAGAGTCACACAACAACAGCGGGACCCACCCACGCTCTACCGCTTAGGAGACATGGTGAGGAGTCCAGGCTGGCCTCCGGCTTCCCAAGTCTCAGGTGGTCGCCATCACTTGTGCTGGGCACCAGGCTCCAATGCACAAGGAATAAAATGGAAAGGAGAGCATAGAGAAAGGGGTGGGGGAGGATGGGTGAGGTGTTAAAGATAGTGGAGAGAGGCATTCCAAGATGGTGGCTAGAGGTAGGAAGCAGAAAGCGACCCTCCTATAGTGAAATCTTGGAGAGACGCTGGAGACACACTTTGCAGGCATAATCACTGAGAAAAGGCATAACTTTGACCCCTCCACATCTCCAGCCAGAGCAGAGAATCTGCACTTCACGTTAAACGGAGAAACGAGGAGGGCCCCTGGGGCCGCCAGTGGCCGGCGCCCATACGGCTTGGGAAGAGCAGACCAGGTGAGCTTCGTGGTACCGCAGTACCCCCACAGACAAGCCTGGGCCTGAGCAGCATAGCCCCCTGGACAGACTGACCTCCACCCAGGGAAAAAAGAGAAACTGAGTAATAAGCAATAAGAACAGTTAAGACATGCTGGAAAGAGGGTGGGGTGCCCTGAGCGCTGAAGATTGGGGGAAGGGCATCCTTCCCAGGACTGTAAATAAACAAGCCGGGCAGCCTGAGAGCCTCTGGCAGGAGCGGGGTGCGCACCCAGCAACCAGGAGCGGGAAAGCTTGTGAGAGTGGAAGAGGGAGAAAAACTCCACAGGCGAGGAGGGAAGACCCACTTCCCACGTGAA